GACGTGCAACCTCCCGAGCCAAAATTGCTGGCGTGTCGTGAGGAAATAAACTCTGTTCCCTGGCCGGACCGACCTCGCTCACCCCTTCCTCTCCCATTTTCAGTGATGTTGGGTGCAGTTGTTGGCTTAGAAGCCTCGGTGTAACGTGTGCCACATGCATATACGACTACCGGAAGGTCAGTGCTGCCCGGTGTGGGCGTGCCGTGTGCGTCAAACGAGATAGCAACGCAGTTGCGTACACAGACTGTAGAACAGCAAGCGAGAGGAAGAGTCGAGCAAATCGGCAGGTATGAAATCTCATTACAGTAGTCATTATACAAGGAAAGATTAGCAATTTAAGGATTGAGGCGCATAAGGCGGCACTACAAGTCTTCTAGTGCACGGCATTAACAACTAACAAGGCATACGAGGAGAGAGGGGTTTTTCGGTGGATTAGAAGTGAACATACAGAAGGTGCCTCGAATTGAGGGACATGGGGGAGGCAGGGGAGGGGGAGCTCACCTCAGTGCAGATGATGCGATCACGCGCTAGGTAGATTTCGATTTCGCGCAGAAGAGGCTCTGTCTGACCGGCGAGAGCCATGGCAATGACTAAAGCCCGACAGAGGGTGGCGGGGCCCAGACAGGCACCCGGGGGGCTGCCACTGGCCTGCACTAGCCGGTGAATTGAGAAGGGACTGGAGGCCGCTGGAGTGTCTCCGAACCAGCGAATAATCTGGCGATGGTACCAAGAACTTGGGTGACTGGCCGGGTGACTAAGCAGAAGAACAAAACATAAAAGGGATGATATACTCATAAATGGTTGAGTCCACCTACATCATCATCAAGACTACTATCACCTGTGGGTCTAACAAAGAACATGTATGAAGTTGGGCAGCCAGTCGACGTCAAAATATAAGAACAGGACAGACTGGCCTGTAGGGCCCTACGCAAGGCAACGATAATTACTTAGATGGTCACTATCTACGCACTCCGAAACATTGTTTATGTTGGTTTTCGTACTCAACTTGCATTGCGCCAAGGTGAAAGCGACCGGAACCGGATCCCGAGGCCCAATGCAACA